TATAACAATTATTTACATAGCGTTTACATTGTATTAGGTATTACAAGTAATCTAGAAATGATTTAAAGTCTACGGTCCGCAGGATCAAGGTATATAAAAAAAAGTCAACGGAAGGATGTTTGTAGTTTATATGCAAATACTTTATCATTTTATATAAGGGACTTGAGCGTCCATGGATTTTGGCATCCATGGGGGTCCTGGGACCAATCCCCCACAGATACCGAACTACAGGAGTATAATGGAAGAAGTAGAGGGCACTATGGAAAAATCAAAAGGACAATCTCCTAACCTCCTAACGTAGAAGTTAAGACCTAAACAGGAATTAGGTGGATAAAGGGGAATCACTGATCCTGTCCACTCCTCTAACCAGATCTGAACCCAGTAAACCACTATCACTTTTTTTAAACACTCTTCCATCTTTGCTACACAGCACACCACTTTTCTGGTCTCTCTCTTTCTCAGGCTCCTTTGCGGATTACTCATCATGTTTAATCCTTAAATGCCAGAACTCCCCAGGACTTGGTCATAGGCCATCTTTTCCACTCCCCAGCTGACCTCATCCAATCTCTGTCATTAAATACTATCTAATGTCAAATACATTATTTCCAATCCAGGGCACTGTAACTTCCCTACTTCATTACCTCACAGAATTCTCAGACTCACTACATTCAAAGCATCTTTTCCCCTCAAAGCTGTTACTCTATTTCCCTGTACCAGCTCTCCCAACCTCTCATCACTATCCTCACAGTAATCCTCACCACTTCAAGCCAATTTATCAAGTCCTGTCAATTCTATATCCAAAATGTTTGTTTTTTTAATGCATCCACTTTCTCCATGCCCATTAATACCACCTAGTCCAACTATCATCCCTCTTAATTTAACTATTTATGCCAACCATTCTCTACTTAGCAGCCCACAATCTTTTAAAATTGTAAATCAATCCCCTTTAAGCAAACCTTTTAACGACTTCCTTCTGCAACTTCCAAGGCCCTGCATGAAAGTATCTAGCCCCTGCCTATTTCTGCGCTTTATTTAAAGAAAATTTCTCACACATCCCCCAACTGCTCCACCTTACCAAGCCTTCTTTAGGTTCACTCAACAAGAAACATATTTAATAGATATAAAATAACAGCTAGATAGTAGAAATAAGTTCTAGTATTCTATAGCACTGTAAGGTGACTATAATTAACAATTTATTGTATATTTCCAAATAGCTAGAAGAGTGGATTTTGAATGTCCCCAAGAAGAAGTGACAAATGTTTGAAATGATGGACATGCTAATTATCCTGATTTAATCATTATACATTGTATGCATGTATCAAAGTATCAAGCTGTACCCCATAAACATGTACAATTATCCTGTGTCAATTAAAAATAATAAAAACAAAAGAAAAAACATATTACCCCATTTCAGAGTCTTTGTACTTGTGACTTTCTACCTACGACATTCTTCTCTCCCATGCTCCACCATAGTTATCTTGTTCACAGCTTCACATTCTTTGGGTCTCAACTTACTTCCTTAGAGAAGTCTTTCCTGCCTCATCACTCAAGCTAAAATAGGGCTTCCTACTACACTCATAGCCCCCATTCTTCTCCCTGATAATGCTTATCACGTATTTGTAATTACTATATTTGTAGACTCATTTTACGTGTGTTTCTTCCAGTAATCAGACTTTACACTCCACTGAGTAGGGACTATATTGCTTGTATGCTTCGTTCCTCATATAATGCTTGACATTTAAAATATTACAAAATTACTGAATGAATTAAAAAGAACCAACAAATAAATGCTTTGGAAGCAAATGTTACTTGCCTAGGGGCAGTGTAGAGTAAGAAAGGGCGTTTTATATTTAAGGGATAGACAGATGAGCCCACAAAGGACATTACTATCCATACTACTACTATGGTACTTTTGGGGCCATTTATATTGCACCACATATCTTCTGCATTAAATTGTGAATTCCTGGAATGGACTGCTGCAATCAGATAGTCTTGGTTGTAAATCTAGGTGGTGCCACTTCCTAGATAATTAAGTCTTGAGCAGCAAGTTGATTCAGTATATCTAAGTCTCAATTACAAAATGAGAATAAGTAAAATCTACTTCATGGGATGGCTGTAAGGAGTAAATAACATATGGAAAATATTTTAGCAAAATATCAAGACATAACAAATGTTATGTTCTTTGCATATACATACTCAGTAAAATTTCATCTTTCTCAACTCAGAGAGTATGTTCTAATATCAGTAAGGCATAAACTGAATACAGCCAAGTTATTCTTTCGTTCCTAAACTGACCATAAAACACACATACATGGTTTTGTGTATACAACTTCTCTTGAGTATGGGAAGAATAGGAATGAGTATCAGGGAACTTTCTAGGCCAATGAAAATGTCATATATATCTTGGTGTGTAGGTGGTGGTTACCCAGATGTAACTAGTAAAAACGGAGCACGGTAGCTCATGCCTATAATCCTAGCACTCTGGGAGGCCGAGGTGGGAGGATCCCTTGAGGCCAGGAGTTTGAGACCAGTCTGAGCAAAAGCAAGACCCTGTCTCTATCAAAAATAGAAAAAATTAACCGGGCATGGTGGCATGCACTTGTAGTCCTAGCTACTTGGGAGGTTGAGGCAGGAGGATTGCGTAAGCCCAGGACTTTGAGGTTGAAGTGAGCTATGATGACACCACTGCACTCTACCCAGTGTGAGTGAGAGAGATTCTGTCTCAAAAAAAAAAAAACCTGACTGAGCTGTACACTTATATGAGCTGTGTACTACATGCAAATTACTCAGTTCATTAAAAAAATCAACAAGACTTTTTATCCAAAAGTTCACAACAGCATTATTCATAATAGCCCCAAAGTGGAAACAATCTACATGTCTATCAACTGATGAATGAATAAAATGTGGCATATCCATACATATGATAGAATACTATTCAGCAATAAAAAGAATAAAGTACTTATACATGCTACAACATGTATGAACCTTGACAACATTATGCTATAGGAAAGAAGTCAGTCACAAAAGACTACATATTGTATGATTTCAATTACATGAAATGCCTGGACTAGGCAAATCTATGACAGAAAGTAGACTGATGGCTGCCTCAATGTGGGGTGTGGGTGGGGGGCAAAATGGGGAGTGACTGCTAAAGGGTATGGATTTTCTTTTTCGGGTGATGAAAATGTCCTAAAGATTGTAGTGATGGTTCCGTAACTCTGTGGATATATTAAAAACCACTGAATTGAATAATTTAAATGGGTGGATTCAACAGTTATTTTTAAAAACCTACAAAACGGAACTATGAAAATAAGCACATATCACTTTAACTTTATTTACTACCTTCGAAATCACACAATAAATTTTAAAAGTACAATGGATGAAAAAAGCATAACTTCCAGACAACTGAGCTAGACTAAGAGTAAGAAAGAAAGAATATTTCTGTCAGCAGGGACAGCACAAGCAAATTC